TCTATAACTATTCAGAGTCCTAAGCCTTTGCTCTTTGATTATAGCAAATGTCTCTATTGATAAATAAAAATCAGAAGCTTTCTGACAACTCTCCCTATAATTCAAAGCAAGTGTTAAAGCAGATCAGGAGTTTCTTGTCAAACAGTATGTGAAAAATCCAAGTCCAAGGGCATTTCTGTGTATTCAATTCTATTTTAATCTCTTTACCATTTCATCTGTAATGGAAAATGCCTAGCTTCCAGCTTTAAAAAAAACAACAACCAGTCAATGGTTATTGGAATAGGAAATTTTATTAACTTTAATCATTGTGAGTAAAAATGAAGAATACTCTTTGAATAAAATAAAATATACATTTCAGTGATTTGTTTCTATAGTAGAGTGATAACCTTGAAAAAGTCCTGTGTACAGCAAAGGTAGTGTCAGTGTAAAATATCTTGCCAGCATGCCTCAAACCTATTCTGGAGGGACTGGCTCTTGGAGTTTGAAGTTAGTTTGGTCTCCAGGCATATTCCATTCCTTTATCCTCTGTTGAGATTGCCAACAAAAGATGCCAATGAAGAATAAACATGTTGCCCCCAGGCTGATACAAAATATTTGGGACCCTCCTGCACAGTTGAGGGGCTGGCAAATAGAAAAATCCTATATTGACTTGTAAACTGTCTGAATTTGATAAGGAATGCATTGAAAAAATAAATTTGGAATCCCATACTGTAATTTTTAACAATCAATTTTTACAGACTATAGCTGCATTTTAAATTAAGTTACTAGAGTAAAGTGTCTTGAAATCACACCACAATCAGCTAATCTGGTTCCAACAAATATCTGGATTTAGAGACAAAGCTTAAACAGATCCCATTAAATAATATCCTTCAAGACTGCAGAAATGTTATTCAGACTCCAGAAAACCATGGTCCCAGTTCAGGAAAGCATTTAAACATATGCTTAAGCGCATCCATGTTCAGCAATTCACTTAAGCATGTGCTTATGTGCCATCAAGATCAATGGGACTAAAATATTTGCTTTAATGCTTTGATGAACAAGGATGGACAGCTGAACTGAGACCCAGGTGTGGAAGTAATTAACAGACTGGTGTGTATTGGACTCTATGCTCTTGAAGACCTGGTTTCTGGCACCACAGCTCAGGTCAAAATTGCCTGGTTTTTTCAACTGGTTGCTTTGCCAAACTTAATCATACTGCTTGGTTTAAGGCTTCTCAGTTACAGGGGGGTAAATTGCCACAACATAGGCTAAAATATGGTTTTAATGAGCTCTGCATTTCACAATACACAACAGATTGTTTACTGTAGTCAGCGATAGGGAATTAGAGAATTCTGCTCCTCATCAGTGTCAGAACAGCAATCCAGAGTACATTGGGTTAAAGAGTTGGCAAATGTTTGGCAATCATGTCAGAGAAAGGACGTAAAACACTATTTAGAGCAAACATCTGTAGTTAGTAAAATGGTCTAAGTCACTGGAGCCCAGAGCTGTATGAAAGGATTTGTCCAGACTGCACATATGTTCTCAAAAGGGTTTTCAGATGAGTCAGACCATAAATGTGTAATTTAATAACTAAGTAGCCTTCAGAACGTTGCTTCCAAATGCCATTTGCTGGATCAATTATTTAATAATTATTCCTGAATCTGTAAAGGATATTTGACCTTAAAACCTATATAAGTGTTAGTGAAAGAACTACGGTAATTTAAATATTTGTAAAAACCAACAAAAGACAGTCTAAATTTTAGCCAAATAAGCATCTGCATAAGACAGTATTTTGGGTGACTACTTATTTACCATTTGTTATGCTTGTAACAAAATAACATTCTGCAGATTTTTCAAGGGTAAAAACAATTACAAATCTTATTAGGAAGTTTGAGTTAATGGTGTTTGTCTGAACAGGAAAGAATATGTAAACTGAAATTATAATTGTAAGTGTGATCGACCTCAACTAGGCCTAATAAGATGTTAGGCAGATGATTACCATGATCCCATTCTGATCCTGTTTCTTACCTCTTCCAACAGCATGGACAACCGATGGACCAAAGCCCCGGATTTGGAATCCAAGCCCATCTGCAGAGTCAGGGATCTTCACTGTCCTAATACCAGCAGAGACTCAAGATCAAATATCAGATGTTGACATTTTGTTCTTTAAAGTAAAGATTGGTCACAGTGGGAAAAGTAACAGGTAGTAAAAATCTGCTTAAACTCCTCCCTGCTATGTCTCATAATTTTTTAAAAATAAAAAGAGCTAAAGGAAAAGGAGAGATGGTTTGGCCAAAGCTATTTATTCATTTATATTATGCCCTATAGTGCTCATCACCTACTACTTGAGCATTTCACATACAAAATGATTTTACCTTCACAATACCCATGAAAGCAGGAGAATATTATTCCATTTTACAAAGAGAACTCAGTAAAATAGAGATTAAGGCCTATATTTTCAAAAGTGTCTATTGATTTGGGGTTCATCTGTTTTTGACCCCATATGAAACACTTTGAAGGGGCCTGGTTTTCAGACATTGCTGTTTTACATTCTTGCTGTATTTACCTCATGATGCTATCAAAAAATGAAAAATGTGTCAGTAAGGAGTACAGGTTAAACTTTTTCATTTGACGTTCCTATAGACAATATTTGAAAAATTCAGAAAAATTGAAAACTTTTCTCCCAAAATTCCAGTTTTAAGAAAAGGCCAAATTTGAATGAAAATTTCATTCTGAATTTCATTCATTATGAATAACAGAGAAAGCCACAGAGAAATACAAATAGGAGCAAAAAAGACAGAGGACTGATCATGATGCTCTTATTCAGTAAGGACATCAAAACTTGGCCCAGAGATAATAGCATGATGACACTGTAAGACTAAATAGTTGAACTGTTATGAGAAAGGTAATTCCATTTAATGGAAAATTTCAATATTTCAAATTGGTTTTGTTCCAATTTGGAACGAAAACCAATAATTTCAAAATTCTGGGCAGAGCCACCAACCCTGGAATCCCTGGACTCCCCAGCTCACAGGTAGCCCACCTGGTGGACTGCCCCAGAACCACAGACATTGGTAGCCCTGAGATCCTCAACTCCTGAATAGTGTAACTGCTGGGCTCCTAAGGAGTGTGGACTCTAGATGCTTTGGGAGCCTAGGCTGCTGAGGAGCTGAGAACCTGGAATCCAGAGCTTCCAAGTTCTCAGCTCCCCATCGGTCCATTAGACAGGCTACCGAGGAGCTGGGAAACCTGGCAGGGTTCTGTTGGAACTTTGTCAGAATAGAACGGTTTCCAGAGAACATTTCAATTTTGGTGAATCAGCAAATTCCAGTGAAAAAATATACTCTCCTTAGGCTGCAGAGCCCAAGCTCCAGCCCAACTAGTGAGAGCTCCACAAGACCAAATCTGTCGACCTGGGCTGGGAGGTTTGCTGCTGTGGGCTGTGTAGATGTACCCTTAGGCACTATGGTAATAAACAATAATAATAATTTTGAGAATTGGAAAGAGATAAATGCAATTTTAAAATATGTTCACACAATATGGTAAAAAAAATATATATTTGTTCAAATATAGCATGGAGTATAAATCAGCTTCATTATTTCACTTCTTGTTTATAGCAGGGGAAGCTGAAAATATGGTTGGCACTTGGAGACAATTATAGGCAGAGCCTGAATACAAAACCTTTTGCAGCCCAGGCATCTCTCTAAAAACTGATGTATTTTACAAACAGATTTTTAAAGACTGTTAGATATTAACTAAATCTGGGGAAAACTCAGTGATCTCACTTTGTAAAATTTCCACACAAAATGCATTATATAAGCATCTCTCCCTACTTCATACACACACTCTGGGGGAAACTATGTAAGACCTGAGTCTTGTAGAACTCATTAGTTTAAACTGGCTTTGTGTTGTGGACAAAAGTTGAGACATATTCATTTTCACTTAGGACTTCTATCAAGATTTGAACTGAGGTCTACACAGGTAAAGGCCAAAGCACTGACCCAGTGCACCAACCAGCCTGCAAATATTAAGTTTTTCTAATTTTACCAATACGGGACTCAATCCTGAAGCTTCTGTTCACAAGGAGTTCCACTGACTTCAACTGGAGTTTTTCCTGCATAAGGAATTCAGGATCAAGCCTCTCCCTAGCAGTACTGTTTTAGCAGAGATTGGTAAATTTTGCAATTAACCATCCCACAACTCATTCTTGAGAACGTTCATAACACATGCTAAGACAAACAGTAATCAATCCTATAGTCTCCCCTCACTAGTCACTGGATAAAGTTGTCTTAGATATAGGATACCCAACCTTGAATGCAGGAAACTGCTTTCAGACATGAACCCTTAAATATTGGACAGAAGCCTGATGAAAACTTAATAAAAAAGCTGTTTATTATATTTGCTGTATATAGTATATTGCACTTTAATTTTGGTTCTTAATAGAGAAGCCTTTACCTTGCAGACTGTGCCAGAAAAGGGAAGCAATAAATAGATTTTTTAAAACAAGAAACAAAAGGGAAGAAAACAAAGGTTAGCACAAACACATAAATACATATATACATTATTATAAAGATGTAGAGGTACATTGTGCCTTCAGACACAGTCCCAAACAAAAGGGAATATGTAAAATGTATCATCCCAAGAGTACATCCAGAGAGCCACTCCTCTACGGCACAATTCTTCCCTTGCTTTCCCCCTTATTTTGTGTGGGTTTTTATTAGCGGGACATCCGAGTGCCAAGATGCCCCTCCCTGCTCACCTGCTCTGGGGTGTGGATGGGAGGACAATTATCTTTTCTTCCAGTGCAGATCCACACTACAGTTAGCCTGTGCATCTGTGTAAGAGATGGGGGGGGTGGGAGGGGGATTATGATTCCCCCTATTCTGTGCAGCCATGTAGTCCAAGTCACAATGTAGTCCTTAGTGTAATTTTGGGCCTGATTCACCGCTCTCTTAGGCTAGTGTAAAGCAGGAGTAACGCCATTAAATTTACTGGACCTATGTGGTGTACGTAAGGGTTAAATCAGACCTTTCATTCCTCTGTTTCTATTGAATACGTGCATTTAAGGCTTAGACACAGATGAAAAGAACTGAAGAAGTTGCACAGTAAACAGGCACTCCTTACTTCTTTTACATAAAGGGGACGCCAGTCACGTAAGAATTGTCAAAAACATTGTATTGCGAGGAGTCCAACTGTTAATAAAGATCTTGAGAGGGTTACTTTTTAATCCTATGTACTTTATTTGTAGAACCAGAATAGAAATGCAAAACACCCATTAGATCATTGAGTCTAACCCAGGCGAGTTCAGGACATAGTCCCTAGACAGAGGAAGTTTATTAAAAACAGAATGTCAGCTAAGTGGGTCAAAATTGCCTATATATTCAGAGAAACTTCATTTATACTTGTGGTTTCTACGTGTATTTAAAATGACAGACTTGAACGTCAAAAGTGACTGGATGTTTTCCCTTTGCTGTTGTTGGTAGATAAATGTAATGCAGATAAATGTAATACAGATAAACTGAAAGCAGATTGATTAGATGTGGGGCCTGGCATGTTGATATTGTATTAATCATTTTATTATTCAAGAACAATACTTTTGCTTGCTCAGATAAGTGTATATGGGCCATTTAAGTAATTTAAATAACCTCTCAGCAATAGTACACCTTATCCCAATAATGCAATAACATTAACTCAATGCTGTCTTTCCTGTTTATTACCTAGACATTTGCCTTCTAGAATTCACTTCAGTTATCATTTTTAAAATTCCCAAAACAGGAAGCACAACTTACTCCCTTGGTTTTGTGCTCACAAGTACCCTGAGGGGCCTTCTGCTGTTTAAGCATGCTTTCAGGAAGCAATCCACTTCGTTGAAGGGTCTCAGAAAAACTAGGTCACCATTAATGGCAAATATCTTCTTCCCAACTTCCAGGCCTGCCATCTAGGTGAGGGGGGGGGGGGGGGAAGAAAAAACAACACTTGAGCATTTTTGCTTTTTTTGTTCTTGTTAGGTTTGGTTTTTATAACCAACATTGTATTGATTTTGTCTGCCTATAGACACGCTTATTAGGAGTCAGTGATATAGACATTCTTTTTAGTCTCCTCTACACAGCATGCATAAAACAGCTCTAAACTATACTTGGAAAAATGTGGATTGTAAACTCCAAGTTCAAAAGCACCTAGCATAAAGGGCCCTGATCTTGACTGGGCCCTTTGGATACTCTGCAGTACAAATCAATAGTCTTAATTATTAATATAATGTAGATAATGTGACCGCTCTTGTTGGGCCAACTTTTATTATTGCCACATTAACTAACTTCCCTACCTGTTGTTCTCTAAAAAAACTGAAACTTACTTTCAAATATAGAGGCTTGCTGAATATTTTAAGAAGTATGTGAATATTTCATAAGTTACAAAAACAAACCATAAACTCAAAAGTTTTGAGTTTCACACCTTTGAGTGAGGTATACAACATGTCAGATCAAAGATCAAACTATTGGCCAACTAGGGAAGAAACTACCTCCAGCTAGAATGTTGCAGGATGTACAGAGCTGCTCAAGGCATCCTCCAAGTCTTATTGCCACTTGAGAACAGGGCAGTACTAGACAGTTGACAAAACAAAATGGAATTACGGAAAGATAACAGAGCTGGACTCAGGCTGGATATAACTCTATGGTTGCACCATACCACTTATTTGTTGTGTCTCCTTTAGGGCTGTCGATTAATCCCAGTTAACTCAAGCGATTAACTCAAAAAAATTAACTGCAATTAAAAAAATTAATCATGATTAATTGCACTGTTAAACAATAGAATATCAATTGAAATGTATTAAATATTTTGGATGCTTTTCTACATTTTCAAATATATTGATTTCTATTACAACACAGAATACAAAGTGTGCAGTGCTCACTTTATATTATTATTATTACAAATATTTGCACTGTAAAAATGATAAAAGAAATAGCATTTTTCAGTTCACCTCATAAAAGTATTAGAGTGCAATCTCTTTATCATGAAAGTGTAACTTCCAAACATAGATTTTTTTTGTTACATAACTGCACTCAAAAACAAAACAATGTAAAACTCTAGAGCCTACAAGTCCACTCAGTCCTACTTCTTGTTCAGCCAATTGCTAAGACAAACAAGTTTGTTTACATTTACAGGAGATACTGCTGCCTGCTTCTTATTTACCATGTCACCTGAAAGTGAGAACAGGCATTCACATTGCACTTTTGTAACCAGTGTTGCAAGTATTTACATGCCAGATATGCTAAACATTCATATACCCCTTCATGCTTTGGCCGCCATTCCAGAGGACATGCTTCCATGCTAATGATGCTCATAAAAAAAAATGCGTTAATTAAATTTGTGACTGAACTCCTTGGGGGAGAACTGTATGTCTCCCGTTCTATTTTACCCACATTCTGCCATGTATTTCATGTTATAGCAGTCTCACATGATTACCCAGCACATGTTTGTTTTAAGAAAACTTTCACAGCAGATTTGACAAAACGCAAAGAAGGTACCAATGTGAGATTTCTAAGGATAGATACAGCACTCGACCCAAGGTTTAAGAATCTGAAGTGCCATCCAAAATCTGAAAGGGACTAGGTGGGGAGAATGCTTTCAGATGTCTAAAAAAAGCAACACTCTGATGCGGAAATTACAGAACCCGAAAGATCAAAAAAGAAAATCAACCTTCTGCTGGTGGCATCTGACTCAGATCATGAAAATGAACATGCATCGATCCGCTCTGCTTTGGAGCATTATCGAGCAGACCCCATTGTCAGCATTGTCTTCTGGAATGGTGATTGAAGCATGAAGGGACATATGAATTTTAGCGCATCTGGGACATAAATATCTCGCGATGCCGGCTACAATAGCGTCATGCGAAAGCCTGTTCTCACTTTCAGGTGACATTGTAAACAAGACATGGGCAGTATTACCTCCTGCAAATTGTAACCAAATTTGTTTGTCTGAGCAATTGACTGAAGTAGGACTTGGGTTCTAAAGTTTTACATTGTTTTATTTTTGAATGCAGTTTTTTTGTACATAATTCTACATTTGTAAGTTCAACTTTCATTATAAAGAGATTGTACTACAGTACTTGTATTAGGTTGTAATCAAAAATAATTATAAAATGAGCACTATACACTTTGTATTCTGTGTTGTAATTGAAATCAATATACCGTATTTTCCGGCGTATAAGACGACTGGGCGTATAAGACGACCCCCAACTTTTCCAGTTAAAATATAGAGTTTGGGATATACTCGCCGTATAAGACTATCCCTAGTTAAACA